TAAGTTCAAACCATTTTATTTTTCAGTATAGGGATACCATACCAAATAAAAAAAATAAATATTATTATAAGCATGGAACAGACAAATAGAGCTTAAGCAACATTGTTCAAGGTCACAATGTATCTATCTATAGGACAGATTCTCTATCTATCACTTTTAATTTTCTATGGATTTATGTGTTCATAAATTATTTGTAAACATCTAGCATACTCTGGTCAGTATACTAACACCGTCACTTCAATACTCTCCATAAAACTATAACCTGCTACCTGAATGACAGCAAAGCATTAGGGTTGATCCTATGAAAACCATACTAACTTCCTTTGAGTCTAAATTTTAATATTTTGCTTCTGAAGAAAACAAAAATTACCTGCTCTACTGTACAGTCCCTGGTGCAGGTTGTCATTTCTCCAACGGACATTGAAACATCATGCCATACCATCTGCTTCTTGACTGATTGTCTATACAAGATCTCATTTTCTAAAACTCAAGAGAAATCCCACACCTTGCTTTCAGAAATACAATCATTGAAGCTACAGTGATTGCATCAGTAGGTCTTCTGCCTCCCAACACACAAAGAACAGGAAAGGAAATCAATGCCATCTGCTTGCAAGGAGAGTAACCATTAGAGAAAATACCACTCTAAATGCAGTATTATAGACAATTATCAAGCAAAACTTTTGTCAAATGCTGGTATGCTTGGAAAAGGAAGAAAATCAATTCTGCAAGTATTACTGAGATGAAAAACCTCTTTGGTGTTAAATTAACTAAATGGTAACATCATGTTTTGAATGCCTTGGAAAGAATCAACTCCAAAAGATTCCGCTTTCATATCAAAGTTTAAATGGGCAAGGATACAATTTTAAAAGCTCATTAGTCTGAAGGTGTATGATGATTTTCTGAAAAGGTGAATGAGTAAAAATAAAGTAAAAAAGAAAAAAAGGCACAAATATTTGATCTAAAATCTCACTGTTCAATTTCAGACAATGTTGCATCTCTATGATTATGGACTGTGGGAAGATTTTCAGGCTATTATCCAATGCATTCTTCAAAATACAGGATAACATAAGAGATCACCTTTAACTCAAGGAATTTGAACAGCAGGTAACTTCTTTCTGAAAACCAGGAAAGAGAGAACTTGTTTTTTATTAGAAGACCGTTACTTCATGTAAATAATTTGTATTGTCATTTCCCACATATGCTACTGGAGACTCAGAAATACGCAGCCTAGCCCCTGGTCGACACTTAGGTCACAAAGGAAAATAGTTTTGATAATTCCCAGGTCAAGTCAATTAAAATAAGTGACTACACAACTGATAAACTTAGGTTATTCAATAACAACAGTGAATGTATCTGGCTGAAAGAAAAGGGAGACAGATTAAAACTATCCCTTAGTAACTACCAGAAGCAAGCCTGAAGCAGCAAATGGATGGTGCACTTGCCAAACAGCACCTGCAATAGTGTAAACTCCACATTCTCCTACCACATCCCCACTGCAAACCCAGCAGTTGGTATGCAATGCTTTATAATCACATTTAAGCTTCTCCCTGAGATGTACCATAGCCAAATATTAAATTCAAAAAGAAGCCATTGAGCGTTCTGACATGACTGATTATTAACCAAGATATTTTGCGTGTTCTTACATGTTCTTTCTCCAGAGGTGGAAAGAGAGAGCAGCTTCTCCTCTTTAAATCTCACGTCCTATGCCAGTCTTACTAGAGAGGTGGGAGAAGTAGAAAACAAACCCAAACAAGGAAAACTAGTGTTCAACCAACATCCTCCTCTCCCCTCCAACAGCATCAAGTTGCAATGGGACTAATTTTTCTTCTCTTTCACATCAAATCCTTCTGTGGAACACTTACACCAGCAAACCATTTGTCCTAATGCTTTATCTTTAATCATTCTGCCATTTCTTGTTTATCTATTACAATATGTTGTACTGTTTCAAAGACAGCATGCCCTATGCATTTTACAGGCATTTTCAGCTTCTGCAGTTCACAAACTACCTTCTGTAATCTTCTGCAAGTCAAAGTTACTCGTAAATATTTAGTGTATCAATGGAAAAAAGGAGTCTTTAAAAACATTTTAAAAAACCAAACAGCCGTTTTACTTCATAGTAACTGTCAGAAATCAATCTCAATCTCAATCTCTCTCTCTCTCTCTCTGATAAACACGCGGAGATGATTATAAATTGCTCTTCATGCACACCTGTGGTGGGTTGAACTTGGCTGGTCACCAGGTGCCCACCAAGCCGCTCTATCGCTCCCACTCCTCATCAGGACAAAGGAGAGAAAACATGATGAAAAGTTCATAGGTCAAGATGAGGACAGGGAGATCACTCAGCAATTACCGTCATGGGCAAAACAGACTCGACTTGGGGAAGATTAATTTATTTCCAATTAATCACAGAGTATGATAATGAGAATTTAAGAACAAAGCTAAAAGCACCTTCCCCCCACCCCTCCCTTCTTCCCAGGCTCAACTTCTGTCATGTCTCTTCTACCTCCTCCCCCACTGAGTGGTGCAGAGAGGTTGAGGAATGGGGGATGTGGTCAGTTCATAATGCTTTGTGTCTGCCCTCCTTCCTCCTCATGTTGTTGTTCTGCTCCAGCATGGGGTCCCTCCCATGGGATACAGCCCTTCACAAACTGCTTCAATGTGAGTCCTTCCCACAAGCTGCAGTTCTTCATGAACTGCTCCAGCGTGGGTTCTTTCCATGGGGTGAAATCCTTCAGGAACGGACTGCTCCAGTGTGGGTCCCCTGCAGGGTCACAGGTCCTGCCAGAAAAGCTGCTCCGGTGTGGGCTCCTCTCCACAGCCCGCAGTTCCTGCCAGGAGCCTGCTCTGGTGTGGGCTTTCCATGGGTTTCTGTGTGGATATCTGCTCCAGTATGAGGTCCTCTGTGGACTGCGGGGGGACAACATACTTCAGCATGGTTGACTTCTACAAGTCTACAGGGCAATCTCTGCTCTGGCCCCTGGAGCACCTCCTCCCCCTCCTTCTTCACGGACCTTGGTGTCTGCAGAGTTGTTTCTCTCACTTTTTTAGTTTTGCCTTTGTTTCTCGCTGTCCTACTTTAATTGGAAATAAATTAAATTCATCTTCCCCAAGTCAAGTCTGTTTTGCCCATGACAGTAATTGCTGAGGGATCTCCCTGTCCTTATGTTGACTCACGAGGTTTTTAATTGTATTTTCTCTCCCCTCTTGTGCTGAGAAGTGGGAGTGATAGAGCGATTGGATGGGCACCTGGCAGCCAGCCAAGGTCCACCCACCCCATAGAATGCTTCTTCTGTCCCAGGTATGGGAAATATTTTGAAATCATAATGTCACTGTTAACATTTTCAGAACATGATTAGTCTTGCCATAACTTAACTGAACACTAAGCATCTAGTGATCTACTATAACAAACTGCATTTCACAATTCTGGAAATGTTAAGAATAAAAACAGCAATGTTGACATAATATCTACATTCAGCTTGTAAGATAAGCTATTTTCCTCCATAACAATTTGAGAAGTAAAGCAATTAATAACTTCCAAAAGTAACCTGACCATAACAGATTGCATTTTAACTGCTGATTTATATCAGCTAGCTGTCACAAATAACTTCCCTAAACAGTTTCCAAAGTAGGCAAACAGGGAAAGAAAGAGGAAAAACCAACATGCCTGTTTCTCACTTTCACTAGCTTCTCTCTCTCTCTCTCTCTCTCTCTCTCTCTCTCTCTCGCTTTTTCCTCTATTTCGCCTTTTCATTCATTCTCAATCTCGCACTCACATTCTCACTCTTGCTCTCCTGTTCTACTACCCCTTCCTTTCTTGCTCTCTCTTCCTCTGGCTCTTGCTCTCACACCATTTCTTGCTTTTGCTCCACCACGATCTCTCTTTTCCTCTCTTGCTTTCTTTCTCTTGCTCAGTCTCTTGCTCTTGCCCCTCCCTTTCTCTCGCTTGCTTGCTCAGCATCTACGTCTCTCCCACTTATTCTCCCTTCAATTCGCTTGGTCCATTGTGTGCTTCCTCATGCTTTCTCTCTCTCACACGCTTCTGCTTTTGCTGTCTCTCTTGGTTTGTCTGTCTGCTGTCTTCTCCCCCTTTCTTTCTCACCATTTCTCCTTCCTCTTCCCATTCAGCTCTCTCCCTCTCCCCTTTTTCTCCGTCACTCTAACCATTCATCTTTCCCATTGCTCTCTCTTTCACTGTCTACCTCTCTCCCTCCCCTCCTTTTTCTTTCTCTTTCTTTTTCTTTTTCTTTCTTTCTTTCTTTCTTTCTTTCTTTCTTTCTTTTCTTTTCTTTCTTCTTTCTTTCTCTTTCTTTTTCTTTCTTTCTTTTTCTCTCTTTCTTTCTCTCTCTCTCTTTCTTTTCCCTTCTCCTTCTTTGTTTCTCGGTTGCTCTCTTCTGCTCTTTCTCCTTTCTATTCTCTCTGCCCATCTCTTTCTCACCTCCTATTTATTTCTCTTTGACTCTGTTGTGGGTTAACCCCTATAGGCAGCTAAGCCCCACAGGGTCACTCATGCAGTCCCCCTCAGTGGGAGGGGGAAGAGAATTGGAAGGGTAAAAGTGAGAAAATGCAAAAGCGGTATGCATAAGCAAAGCAACATAAGGAGTTCATTCACTACTTCCCATCTTACTTTTCCAGGAAAGCAGGGCTTCATCATGTGTAATGGTTACTTGGGAAGACAAATGCCATACCTCCAAACTTCCCCCCTTTCTCCTTCTTTCCCCCAGTTTTTATTGCTGAGCATGATGGTATATGGTACGGAATATCCCTTTGGTCAGTTGGAGTCAGCTGTCTTGGCTGTGTCCCCTCCCAATCTCTTGCGCGCTGACAACCTTCTCACTGGGGGTGGGCAGAGGGAGAAACAGAGACGGCTTTGATGCTGTGCGTCCCAGTTTAAATGAGACAAGGGTCTTTTGCTGAGGATGAGTTAGGAGAAAAGACCCAAACTTCTCTTTCTAAGCAATTATAAATCCAAAATTAAGAGGCTCCGATTGAAGGAAAACGAATTATGGAAAAGGGAAAATAACAGTCCTTTATTAAAAGGTATGTGTGTATTAACAGAAACACGGAAAAAAACAAGTAAAAAAAAACCAAGCAATACTCCTATACCCACCAATAATCCCCTTCAAGAACAAACCGATAAACCAGCAAGAGTAAACAGTTCAATTTTTGTGCCCCTTGGTGCAATTCCAACCACAGTCAATAGGAGGCGCTGTTGGGTCACTAGAGATGCGAAACTTGTAATGTCCTGTACCATTCACCAGGTGGTGCTGTTGGGTCACTGGAGATGCAGAACTTGTAGTGTCCTATAGTAGCCACCAGGTGGCGCTGTTGGATAACTGGAGGTGCAGAACTTGTAATGTCCAGTAAAAAACAACAACAAAACAACAAAAACACCCCTCGGTTCCCCTTCCCTTCCCACACTGGGACAGGAGAGAGGGAGTGGTGGAGGGGGAAAGGGAAAGGAAGGAAAAAATAAAAACAGCAAACAGAAAGTTCTCCCAATGGAAGAAAACTCACGAACTTCAGCTGGTTAGAGTTCGCTTTAAGCAGGGCCTGCAGCCAGCAACAGCTGAGCAGAGAGCAGCAGCAAACTCTCCTCCAACAGGAAAAAAAAACAAACCAGGCAGCGTCTGCAGCTCGCAGCAGGTCCCGAGCCCACCGGCACACCAACCTCTCCTCCCAACCTGCGTGCCAGCCACACCCCCAGCCCACCAAAATTCCTCCTCCCCCGTTGCCCCAGAGACGAGAGAAAAAAGTAGACTTTAGATCCTTCATCTGCCTGGAGACTGATCTCTTGGCCATTACTGGACCGGCCGATTCTTTTGTTCACCTGATAGCTACCTGATGGCCTATACACAGGGCACACATGGCAGGGGGAAGGGAAAGAAAATTTCCTTGCTAAAATTGGAACTATGACACTGTGTAAGCGCTATTCAGCAATGGCTAAAAACATCGATGTGCTATCAACACTATTTTGGTCACAAATCCAAAACACAGCACCATACAAGCTACTAGGAAGAAAACGAACCCTGTCCCAGCTAAAACCAGTACATCACCCATTCTTGATCCTGCCAACTCCCCAACAACTTTTTTTTCACTTTTTTTTTTTTTTTTTTTAAGCAACAGGACAATAAATGTCTAATTGAAAAAATACATTTTCCATTGGAATTTTCCATAGATATTTTATCTACATTACTCTCAATAAATTTAACTCGCAAACACAATAAATGAAGGCTCTTAGTAAACATAATATCAACAACTGTAACTGTTGTTAAAAGACATTTTATCGTATCCACTGTGTTTTAGCAAAGCTTTAGCAATGAAAACATTGAAATCGACTAGCAATACTACAATAAGTGTTGTGGCACAAGCTTCTCTATGTAGGTCCTTTGGATTAAAAGGCAAAGCATTCCTGACAATCTGTGACAGAGTGAAATCCTACCAGCACTCAACATATCAAAGACCAGGAAGCTCCATTCCATTAAATATTTAGGTCCTTCAAACACAAAACCAGAGAAGCAAACCAAGACAGATGGACAGAACAAACCAACCAACCAAACAAACAGAACAACCTTACCTTTCACAAGCTCGGACAGTCCATGCAGCAATTATCCATAATGAGATACTAAAAACCAACAGTACGGTTCCTGGACATATTGTCATTAAAGTCTTCATAACAAAACGGGTATTGAAGTTTATCTTATTTAACGCTCCAATGCTTCTAGATGATGCATCAGTGAAAAGTTTGCTATGCAAAAGCATAACTCTTGCAATAAGATACAGCCTTAAGAACATTGGTATAGATAAAATAATATCCACATCAGCTGTTGTTGTGGATGGAGTGTAAGAAAAGGCAAGACGGGCTGTCCATGTGAATGTATAGTTCCCAGGTATGGGATGTATAGCACATACAAGTATTTCCAAGCAGATAAAGAAAATACGCTCATAAGTCATGGCTATTCTCCAGTCATCTGCTCCATTGTCCACCATGAATAACTGAAAAGATAAAATACAAGGTTAACTTTAGTATGCCATTAACAAACCTTGTTATGATTACATTTTGAAATACCGTTGTTTTCAGAGCTGCTAATGACCACTAAAACCAAAATAAATTTGCCATTTCAGCAAATTACATTACTAAGTCACTACTAAGTGAATGTCATTTTGGGTAAGCCAAAAAGAATGTTTTTGTGCTCTGTTTTTAAAACTTTATGTGAAACTGAATTTCCACATATTATTATTCACTAAGATTTTTTCATATTTTTGTTTAATCGTAATTTTTGCTAAAACAAAACTTTGTGCCAATTTAAACCTCATCCCTTCAAAATCAATTTCTTAATCAAAGTTCATAGAATTTAGAAGAACTTTTAAAAAGGTTTTTCAGGATGGAAATCTAAATTAGCAATTGAAAATACGTTCTGCAGTACAACATTAAGACTTCTTTAGAGCACATCGGTGCTTCAGAATGGAGAGGTTACAGCTTCAGTAGAATTATTCAAGTTTTCTTCAAATTTCAGGTACCAATGCAGGCTGCAAAGCCATCCAAGAAACTACATAAAGACTCTAAAAGATAACTCATGAGTTCAAAATCAGTTCAACTGTACCTCAACTACTAGCAATATCCGAACTAGCTGTTTTAAAGCTAGGTTGACCATGTCTAAACAAACTGTAATCACACCTTCAAAAAAACCCAAAAAATGAAAAGCAGAGGCCTGCAAACACCAGAGTAGCCTAGGTGAGGTCTATTAGTAGCTGAAAATTAAATGCACATGTATGTATGTAGGTCCTTGCAGAACCAATGCCTTCAGCTTACCACCCAGGAACAAAAGTAATAAACCACTTCACACTGTTTAGTAAATGTTGTTCCTGAAGATTTACTAACTAAATACTTAATTGAACAATATTTGTCACTAGTAGAGAGTAGGGATATGCAGGGCAACTTTTAAAAAAAGCAACAGGAGAAGACCTTCACACCACCTCTGGTCGGAATCTAGAAAAGGCTGTTCAGCAAATATGTAATTGGAAATAAAAAACTTTTGCAGGATTTTTTAAATTAGATTATTCAAAAGCTTAGAAGTAATTTAAGGGGTGAGAAGGTGAAATGCACAAAGAATGTCCTTCTGAATGTAAGAAAGTATTTCCGGCATGCCACACATCATCATATACAGGGCCAAACAAGCAATTCCTCTTCTGCATTGCTTTTTGCCCCTTTCCATCTTTCCATCCTTCAAAAGTTTAGAAATGCAAGCCTGAGCTCTCTGTATACGCCCTTCAGAGATCCCAAACCACATTCTACATCTTCCCCCAACACATTCAGTTTGTCTTCCAGAAGATTGCTCCAGTTCTTTGTTTAAGAAAGTGATAACAAGTTAACTTTATTGGAGTTGGAGTGACACTAAAAGAAAGAAAGAATTTAACCACAGTAAGAAACAAACAAAACAGAAAAAAAACCAACTCAAATTCTTTTCTTTTTAGACCTGTGTTTTGCTCCTTCACGTTCCTTCTCTTTATCTTTGGTATAGTTCTTACCTCCATTGCAATACTATTAAAACCAAAGAAACATAGTGTTGAATTAAGCTAAAGAAACACACTCGGTGAATTCAACGTATGCAACATGAGCACATACACTTTCTTTTGCTTGTGGTCTTTCTGAAGACTTTGTACGCTAGATATAAAAATGAAATTCATACAGGCAGGAAGGCAAATCTACCTATTTATTTATTACCAAAAGACAGTTGGTTTGCACTTAGCAAATGTACTAATTGATATAAAAGGCCAAACTTTCAAAATACAGTGAGACTCAAGTGCATTTGATTCTTGCGATTAGCCTGCAAATGCTGTCAGTCAGATCACACAAATGGTAAAACAGCTATAAAGAGGTCCAGGTACTTAGAGCATCCAGAATACAGATTAATATAAACCGGTAACAGAAGGTAGAAAGCACCAGAAGCCACAGAGGAACACAGATCCAGTACAAAAATCCCTATTTGAAAAAATAGTAACATTTCAAAAACATATTTATGAGGTAAATTTCCATACAAATCTGTGTCTCTAAATTCAGTCCATGAAACACAGGAATATCAAACATTCTGGAACAAAATAGGCTGTGGTTAAAAAGTCAATTGGGATGTACTGAAAATCGTTAGAAATTAGCACAGGATTTCATGTACATTTTATATGTTTGCAATTATGCAGCCTACTAAATGCAATTGTTAACATTTAATTTGAAAAATGCAGTGGTATTTGCATGTTCCTACTTGCTTGGTTGTGTACATTTGCTATTTGGAAAGCAAGGAGGGAAAATGAATAGAGGAAAGAAAGAGCAGCTGAAAAGCACAATTTTGAATTTTAAAATATTTGTTTAATATATATATGCAGCAGCTGAAAAGCACAGTTTTGAATTTTAAAATATTTTTTTTATATATATATATGTATGTGTGCGTGTATATATATATATATATATATATGCATGCACCCTCTCAACTGCTTTTAGTCAATACTGTTATAATAACCATGTATTCATTTTAAGATACTGTTCCCCATTTGAATGGGGAATGATGCTAGCAATAAAAAGAGAACAAGTTCTTCCTATAAAATTGAGTCCTGCAGCCTACACAGAAGGCCATACTCCAGTCAAGGTCAAAGATGTTATGCCCGCTCATAGCTTTCAAATTTCTTGTTAATTATTAGTCTAACATTGAAATCTAATTTAAGTTCTTCATCAGTGTTCTGTAAAGCTTCTTCAAATACAGAACTGCCATCTACCTTTACTAAGACTGCACTCTATAAGAAAAATTTAAAAAAGTTATTTTCATCTGAAATTATATAATGCATTTCCAACGTGGCATGTAAAAATAAGACATGAATATTAAACTATAAATAAACTTGATGTTTCTAACACCACACAGTATAAATATAAAAATAGATAGCACATCATAGATATTAATGTGTGTTTGTGCATTTACATAACAACTCGTGTAAAATTCATATAACACCAGATTAGAAAAAGAGAAACAAATTTAGAGTAGAAAGATTGCACATAATGACAACTTAGACCAGAGACTCCCTGAAGCTATTTAAAAGTAGATAAAATAATTTTGCAAATCATTAGTATATCAAAACAAATTCCTAGCAGGCTATCTGAGGATGTTGGTGAATGCAAAATACAAGGAAATTGGCCAGTATCTTTACAATCCCAGTAGAAGAACAATCGTGAAAACAGTATCACTGCTCTGCTTTAAGGAATAGAAAGGAAGCAATAAACAATGATAAAGCTGTATTCCTTGAAGCATTCCTTGCAGAAGGAGAATCAGCTGTACTGCACTGTGGCAATTGTTTAATTTAAACATCCAAATTTTAAATGGTTAAATACTGGAGTTGCTTTACCCTTATAAAAAAACTGATGAAACTATGACACAGACTAGCAAAATATAGCCTCTGTGGCTGCTGTTCTACCAATTGTTTTATCAAACATTTTTCTATAGCTTCTAGTCCTCGGAATATCACTTATGCAACTAAAACAGCATTATACTCCCCAGAGAGGAGGAAGGTATTAAGTACAAATGATTGAAAATCATACGGTGGTTGGAGATAGACATCTCGAGCCTTTCCCTAACTAGGGGATGAAAAACACCTTCTTCCATCATCAGAAGGCATATAATTAAATGGTCTGTAAACTATCCCAAGGCCTGTCCTTGATCTTGGAGAGCCTGTAGGAATTCCCAAGAACTCTACATCCTGAATACAGTGCCACAGAGCAGAGAAGTTAGTAAGTTTAAGTCTTATATAAAGCCATGAGGCATCAAACACCTTCTGCATGCAAAGCACAGAAGGCAAAGAATAGTGTTTTTCATAAAACTACATGAAAACCATGTTATCTTATGTTTTCCAGAATGCTTCCCACATCCAGAGTTAAGACCAAATTTTCTAGTAGGTCATTAGAAATTGATCCACAAGATCTTGTGGATATAGCTATCTACACGAATGAAACATTCTTACTTTGTTCAAATGAAGTTAGGCTATTCTATCATTCATACATGTACATGCACATACACCACCCCCACCACCCCCACCCCCACCCCCAATTATGAAAATGTCAATTTAAAAGAATGTAAAAGTCTGGTGGGAGCCCCTGGTGGTCTAGTGGTTAAGGGCACGGCGCTGTCACCGCCGAGACCCGGGTTCGATTCCCGGTCAGGGACACTCCCCGGGCAGATGGAGCTCGTTAGCCCTTAAAGGCAACCCATCTACGTCCTGAGGACCTCGCTGCCACCGTCCAAGCTCGCTTGGCCCCAGCAGATGAACCTTAGGATTAAAGGGTGGGCTCAGTTCCGCGCACACTGTGTCTCACTTAAAAAATCCAATGCGCAGGCTGGAAGGTGTAAAGACCTTCCCCGGATCTTCGCTCGCGAAGACTGGCCATTATTAAAAGTCTGGTACGTAGTTTCACCATAAAAATTGATTTTTTGCATAGCATATTTATTTCAATTTGGCATCTCTATGCGAAATGAGTTTTTAATGGTTATTGATATCTTGCTATACACATGTCAGTGTGTGCAAAAAAAATTTCATGTTAATCTGTGCTGGTGGCTAAGTAGGCTCAAAATGCTTCCCTCAAAGATAGCATTAAATCTGACCATCTTGGGAAGAGATGTGTAACTGAGGCTCAGATTACTTATGGCCTTTGTGTACCATATTTTCCTATGTGCAGTATAAAAAACTGCACATTACAATACACCTGAATAATATACATCGGTTACTATGACAGGGCAGATGCAGAGAGGAGCATAGCCACAACCATTTCAACAAACATATATGTGTTACTCAACACACTTATCAGGTTTGTCCATGCCTTTCTTAACCTCTGTCCCTCAGAAAACACTAGCCCAAACACCCTATGAGATAACAAAGGGCACGATCACATTAACATAAGCTTAAATTTTGCCTCCCCATATTTTCCTTCTGTTCTAAATCAGATACAGTATTCTTTTTTGATT